ACGCGCTTCAGCTGTGTGTCAGTCAGCGCAAGCAGCAGATTGAGTTATTTTTCACTGCTTATTGCAGTTAATAACTTTATTAAACATTCTGCACGTGCCAAATACGCGATCGCATGCTGTCTGAGAGAGGCGCTTTCTGAGTGTGTGCTTTGTGTGTCAGTCAGAGCGAGCACCGCATTGAGTTCTTTTTTTTACTGCTTATTGCACTTATTAACTCTATCAAGTGCGTCCCACTCTTTTTCTCATTCATGCATGTTTCCTTGTTCATCAAAGGTGTATATAACTATTAAGTAGTACTATGTTACGCAGATACGTTTGCATACCACTGAACACACGATATAGCAAAATGTCTAACGAGAGACACTTTATTCTGCGGTAAAGGTATATACCGTCATACCGCCCAGCCCTAGTATACAGTATACTTCATGTCATGTTTGATACACAAATTTCTAAGGCTTTGATCATCAAACTAAGCACTAAACATTTTACGGAGACATATTATTGGAGATATAGAGTGACGACTGATATTTGTCATTTTATGTAAGTATCTGTTATACTGTTATAAAGATCTCATTGATTTACATTACAAGCATTAGAATTTCATCACTTTTTGTCCATAAAAATATCATTATCTATATTTTTTTGCTCAGTTTGATTCTCTAAATAAAACTAAGCTGTTTTTCTTCCAAATTCTCATTATATCGTAATACTGTATATGAGCCATAAAAGCCTGATATATAATAATTATAATAATTTAATAATTTATGCATTTAGCAGACGCTTTTATCCAAATCGACTTACAGTGCATTCAGGCTATACATTTTTTGACAGTATGTGACATATATCTCATATGATAACACAAAAACACATAAGCAAACCTGGCCTTATTTGTTGGATGACTAGTTGTCTAGTCAAGTGTCATTACCCATCTTTACTACAGCAATGAGTTCATTGCACCTACTTAACTGTGAAATTGATTGTTGATAAAGTAAATTGAGTAGAAATTACAGATGCTGGCATATTTCCCAGTGGCTGTAGTTTAAAGGGGTCATGAAATGAGAAACCAAAATTCCCTGGATCTTTTGACATAATAGGTCATTGTATTATAAAAACATCCTGTAAGTTTCAGAACTCAAAACTTTGTCGTTAGTCTAAAATCAGCTTATATTGAAGGCAGTCTGCCAAAACGACAGTTTGTATAATGTTCACTCCCTGTTTAGCCCCGCCCACAGATTCTACATCACTGCCTGTTTAGCCCCGCCCACCGATTCTACAACACTCCCTGTTTAGCCCAGCCCACCAATTCTACATCACTCCCTGTTTAGCCCCGCCCACAGATTCTACATCACTGCCTGTTTAGCCCCGCCCACCGATTCTACATCACTCTGTTTAGCCCCGGCCACCGATTATATAGCACTCTGGTTAGCCCCGCCCACCGATTCTACATAACTCCCTGTTTAGCCCCGGCCACCGATTATATATCACTCTGGTTAGCCCCGCCCACCATTTCTACATCGCTGCCTGTTTAGCCCAGCCACTGATTTGCACATGTAGCGTAAATAACAAGAGAGGCGAACGCAGATCTAAGCAGAAACCTAACCACCATATATCACCTAACCCTAACACTCCCTGTTTAACCCCGGCCACCGATTCTACATCACTCTGTTTAGCCCCGCCCATCGATTCTACATCACTCTGTTTAGCCCCGCCCACCGATTATATAGCACTCTGGTTAGCCCCGCCCACCATTTCTACATCGCTGCCTGTTTAGCCCAGCCACTGATTTGCACATGTAGCGTAAATAACAAGAGAGGCGAACGCAGATCTAAGCAGAAACCTAACCACCATATATCACCTAACCCTAACCCTAACACTCCCTGTTTAACCCCGGCCACCGATTCTACATCACTCTGTTTAGCCCCGCCCACCGATTATATAGCACTCTGGTAAGCCCGCCCACCAAATCTACATCGCTGCCTGTTTAGCCCAGCCACTGATTTGCACATGTAGCGTAAATAACAAGAGAGGCGAACGCAGATCTAAGCAGAAACCAAATGATAAAGATGCTCTGAAGACAACAAGACGCTGTGCAGTGCCAAGCTGTGGAAAATCCTTCTGATCCTAATGTTAGGAAAGAGTGAATTAACTTTATTTTTAATGAATATCCAGACCGCGTCAGTAAGAACATGGTCCTTTGTTCGCTTCATTTTACAGCGGATTCGTTTACAAACAAGGTACAATTTGACGCGGGATTTTCAGAAAGATTAAAAACTAAAAGCTGTGCCGACTGTAGTGGATCCGACAGTAATGTCACAACACAAGTGTGAGTTACTGCTTTTATTACATGCTCACTATTGCTTTGTCTCTTAAACAGATCATTTGATATGAGTATTATATGCGCATTTAACCTAAATCACAGCAGCATCCATCTATATCACTATATCTATATCATATTATAGAAATTAGCCTCTGACTAATGAAGCAGAGCAGGATTTACAAGCTTGTTTTGACCTCACTGATTGGAGCGTTTTTGAATCTGCTGCCACCGATCTGGACGAGCTCACAGAGACTGTAACATCTTATATCAGTTTCTGTGAAGACATGTGCATTCCTACCAGGACTCATTTAACCTACAACAATGACAAACCATGGTTCACTGCAAAACTCAGACAGCTCCGTCAGGCCGAAGAAGATGCTCACAGGAAGGGGGATAATGTCTTGTATAAACAGGCCAAACTCACACTGGAAAAGGAGATCAGAGTGGCAAAGAGGAATTATTCAGAAAAAATAAGGATTAAAATCTCTTCCACTGGCTCCGCATCAGTATGGAAAAGTCTAAAAGAAATCACCAATTACAAGGTTTATATATCTGTGTTTTTTGTTCTGTCACTGTCATTCTGTTACACTGTGGAAGCTTCTGTCACGAAAACAAATTCCTCGTATGTGTATACATACCTGGTAATAAAGCTCATTCTGATTCTGATTCTGATAGCCACGCCTATTCAAAAAAATAGTTTTTTGATCTAAAAATCTTGCTAACATTATAAGTGGACCTCAGAGAACAGTACAAAATAAAAAACAGAGGCAGTGCATGACCCCTTTAAGGCCTGTTGATGGGCTCGACTGTGGTCAGACACCTGTCCTCGTGTCAACTCACTTCATTGTGTGTGTAAGTCAGTGAACTGTGGCAGACTCAACCACCGTGACCCGACGCGCTCACATGACGATGTTGACACGGGTCTGAAATGTGTCACGACTGTACATCCAGGTAAAGTACATGGTGGAGCATGAACCGTGAACGTTTGAACCTCTGGCACTTACTGTATGTGAAGGGTTTACGTTTTACTGTACTTTGTTTGATATCTTGATGGTGTTTTCTCTGTGCTTGCGGTCCAGTCATCTCAGGCATCGGTTTGATCGGTTTCACTTTCGCGCAGTGGATCGTGTCTTATATTGAAAGACTGTTTTAAAGGCAGCCTGTTTTCTGTTCATGTTTTCCATCAAGAATTGCTCATTTTACCTTCTGTCGGCTGCGCTGGGAATGTTTTGACGGCTTGTTTTGAAAATGAGTTATTATAAGAAATGTTAACTTGCAGTCATGACCAATAACTGGGGTTGTGTGCTTTCAGAGAGGATTCTCACACGATGCAGAATTGCAATTTGAATTAAAGGAGTTAAAATTAAAATGGAAAGAAATTAATATACTGTATTTGTCAATGATTCATAAATGAAGTCTTACAATATATTTTAAATATATCGATGCAGTAATGGACCATAATCGATTATAGCCTACTGACGTCATTCGCATACGCGCTTGTCACGCGAGTATTAAAGTATTACGCGATTCACACTCCTAAATTACAGTAATGAGCAGAGGCTGTGCTTAATTATCTTAAAGTAGAGATAAACCGGAAGACATAAGAAGATCCAGTTATGACATTTTGATTAAAAATGATGTTGTCAAGTACTGTGAAACATAGACACGGATGAATCGTTCACGAGAAGATCTATAAGATGCGTTTAGAATCAGCTTTTGTCTTGAGGTTTTGGAGAGAAGCGTGAGCTGCAGGTTCTCAGGTAGAACCCATCGACTCGGTCACATTCCAGCATGGCAGGTTTATTGAGGGTTCGCGTCACGAACAGGCCCAGAGCAAATGCAAATTACAGTCATCATGCAGCATTCTTCAGCAAACACAGGTTGCTCGGGTCGCTCTTAACTGCGGGGTGCTGCGTACAAATGACTTCCTGCAGAAAAGCACAGGTAAAGTACTTTGTATGCTTTGTTGTTTTCACAATTATAAAATCACAGAATGCCATCAAGATGGTTGTACCTGCAGACCACATGCAAATTCAGTCTTAAAGCCATAGATTTACATGAAAATATGAAGCCGTTCTGAAGAAAACCAGACGGCATTGCAATTAAATCTGTAATCTCATCTGCGTCTCCTCTAGAGCTTTAGAAGACGTCTCAACAGTGTCCCGAAGTGTGCTCAGATTTGCCTAAATGCCAATCGAAGGTCCGAGATCTCAATATGAGCTGCTTTCCAGCTCTGCACTCCTACTGTATGACAGCTACTGACTCATTTCTAAGAAGGCATTTTTGGAGAAACATCTGTTGATGCTTAGATTAATCATTACTGAAAGTGTCCTGAAGATATGAAAGAGCGGTCTATAAGAGAGGTTATGCTGCTTCTGAATGCTCTTGACTGTGTTGTGTAACTAAAATCACTCAAGAGTAGGACTCTGTGATTTCTGATGATGCTGAATCCAGTCATAAAAATGGCATTTACAGTATAATGCACAGAATGGCACAGAATTTCCCATCTGAACACATGAACTTCATCTCCAGAGCTGCTCTGAGAGTCACTTCAGCAGCATTTCACAATTTCCTTTGAGAAATACACATTAAAACCCCAAGCTCTTCACAGCAACCCGCCAAACTAAAAGTCAGAAATGCATTGCCGTTGTGCAGTAGTCTGTACTTCTCAAAGTAGAAATGAGCATGTAATAATTTAACATTTCAAGGAATCTCACTCAATTTTTCTTCCATGTTTTAATTGAAACGGTAAGCCTAAATACAAACGCCAAAAATTAAAGGAATCATTACATTTTCATTTGATTGCATTTTAAAATGTTAATTGTTCATGTTTTATACATTTATTTTATTACCACTGTTTTTGATAATAAATGTGTATTAAATCATAAATCCAGAAAAATGTATTCTTATAATTAATTAAATAATTTAATTTGTAAATAAAACATCATATGGCTCTATTTTTGTTAATAATAATAACAATAATATTTTGTTAAATTGTCATTGTTTTTTTAATCAATTGATTAGACATGCTTTTTGCAAATGAAATGAAATTAAACTATTAAAAATAAGTGGAAAATGTATTTAGGTAAAAAATAAAATGTAATTTGGGGAAATTACATTAGGCTGTATTACATTATTTTCATTAGGCTATAAAAACTTAGTTTTGTTCTATAATGTAAAGACTATTTTTTTAAATATATTTATTAACATATATTATTTAGTTTAAATAAAAGCTGTTTTTTTAAAACTTTTTATTCATTAAAGAATCCTGAAAAAAAGTATCACAGTTTCCAAACAAATATTAAGCATGCACAGCTGTTTCCAACATTGATAATAAAGCAGCATATTATACTGATTTCTGAAGATCATGTGACACTGAAGACTGAAGTAATGATGCTGAAAATACAGCTTTGATCACAAGAATGAATTATATTTGAAAGTATATTAAAATAGAAAACCAGTATTTTAAATTGCTATAATATTTCACAATGATGCCAACCCTGAAACAACATACAGAACTACCACATTTTGCTTGCATCATATAATAATTGCTGTTAATAGTGTTCATCGTCTGTTTGATTACGTCTTTAATTTTTCGGTACATTTCTGTCATATGTACATTAACTGACAGTCACCACTGATAAGCTACCACTAAATAGTGTAGAAACTTAATTTGCTGTAAAGTTGCTTTGCAACAATTTGTATCATAAAAAGCGCAATATGAATATGACCTTTTTTCTGTATTTTTGATCAAATAAATGCAGCCTTGAGCAGAAGAGACTTCTTTAAAAAACAACAAAAACAGTCTTCTTTCTGATACAAAAAAACAACAACAAAATTATTCAACTTTGACTTACTAAAATAAAAATGAAAATAAACACAGATTCAAACTATGAGACAGTATCTCGATGATACTAAAGTAACACGGGTCTGAGCGCATTAAAGCACCTCAGATCTTTCTGATCTCCTCTGGGGTTTTGAATGGCAGTCTATGGAAATAAATACATATTCAGATTAGTGGTGGCTCAGTATTGGAGTTTAATGGCTGAATTGTGAATATTCGGTTTGCTTTCAGTGAAACTGCATTTCTTAATCATTTCTATCACCTTTCACATTGGCTCCATGTGCAGCGTCACACTCGTTAGCAGTAAGTGCGGGGAAAGACGCTGGGCTCTTTGTCTCTGGCCGTCTGGCCGGGGTTCGAGGCTGGTGTAATGGCAGGTTCCCAGCGTGTTAATAACGGCCGTCCTCCTCTCGCTGTCTCACAGGTGTTCACAGGCATCAGTCGCAGGAAATCTCCGGTTTCTACTCGCTGCCTCAAGGCCAGATCACTCCGTCCATGAACTGGTAAGACATCTAAAGTCAGAGAGTGCACACATCTCTCCTCGTATCTGCTGATGAAGGAGAGCATCCCAAACCAGACTTGAAATGCGAAATGGCCCAGTATGTCCTGCCCTGTACATTTACACTCTTAAAAATAAAGCTGCTTAAAAGGCTCTTCACAGCGATGCCATAGAAGAACCATTTTTGGTTCCACCTAGAACCATCTCTTTCTAACCTTTTTATAATCTGAAGAACCTTCTTTCGTTACAAAGTAGCTTTAGTGAAACAGAAAGGTTCTTCAGATGTTGAAGGTTCTCTATGGAACCATTTAGACAAAAACGGTTCTTCTATGGCATCGTGAAGCACCTTTATTTTTAAGAGTGTATGTGTGCCGCAACTTAATGTAATAACCGTACTTGTGTAAAAAGTTGTATACAATGGAATTGAATATTATGTATAATTTGATATAATGGTCATAACGCAATAATCTTCTCCAATCTTGAGCTCATGTTGTAGTTTACCATTGCATAGTCGGTTATTGCATGAGAAATGTGTAGAAACGTATAATAAATTCATAGTTTATAATCTTATGGCAGCACGTAATATAGTTGTTCCAGTTTTAGTTGTATTTGTTTAATTGCAATTGTCTTTTTTTGAGTTACTGATTTTAAAATATAAATCATGAATATTTAAGTATTCAGTAAGTAGTTTAGGATGAGATTTAAATTTAAAGGGATAGCATTTTTTGTTATTTCATTAAAAAGGTGATTATTAAATTTGACAATGTTTTAGTTGCACTCATATGTCTCGTAATGTAAAAAAAAAAACATTATTCCTTTATGAGTTTAACATTTTGTTTTTCAAAATATTACTTTTTTAATATCTTGCATCATGTGCCGTTATTACATTGTTCATTGCTGATGTTAATCTCTATGGTCTTGTGTGTGTGTGTGTGATAAATTGGCGAGCTGATTTGGAGAGAAACTCAGCTGATGTTGTGTGAGTGTCAGATTGATCGGACAGATGTTTTCATCATGCAGTGTGTCGGAGGATATATATATTCTGTCGGTGTGTGTGTGTGTGTGTATCTGGTGATTGAAGCCGTGTGTCGGTGTTGATGGTGTCTTGTTCTCTGTTAACCTGACGTCTGTCAAGGCCTGAGAAAGCACGCTGTCACCTGGAAACATTTCTGTCAAGAAACATGAATAGTTCACCAGACGTTGTACTGCCGTAAAGTGAAGAATTGAAAAAGATCTGCTTTTCAGTTAAGCCCCGCCTTCTTTGATTTGATTGGTCACCTGGAACATTTGGACATTGACGAGCGCTGAAGCAGAGCAGCCTAGAAATGTAACAACAAACGTCAAGCATCAAGAGTACAATCAATAAATATGTAGGCCTACATTTAAGATGTTTTTGAATTGCATATGAATCCGTTGGCTGAAAACTCATCTCTTTTGAGCACTTCCTATCTATTTGCCTCTTTAAGATGAATCGATGTATTCCCCAATTGTAAGTCGCGTTGGATAAAAGCATCCGCTAAATGAATAAATGTACATTTGGATTACACATGACTAATTCACTAAAAACAAATAGACTCACTGTGATTCATATCTGTTTATCGTACATAAATTAAATGGGTCAGAGTTTTTAATATAAACTCAATAACCAGGTTTATGTATTTATTAGCAATAAATCCAGTTAGTTTCAATCCCATGCATTTAATGACTTGAGTATCACAATGAACAGATTGATTCTGATTTGAATAAATGCATTTTGAAAATCTGATGTTTGAAATCAAATCAAACAGATGCAAATAGTTCATAATAAACTATGCCCTGATTTGTTTGAGTGCCTGACATACAACAAAATAAAAGTTTGTTAAACCCGCTTTATCCAAATGCATGAAAATTTTAAATTTAGGCTGAAATATTTTTTGAGTGCATCGTTTGAATAAGTGTGTATATATATATATATATATGTGTATATTTATTTATTATTATTATTTTTTTTTCATTTTATGTATTTATTTATTTATTTAGCGAGTGAACTGTACATATTTACTTTCCAAGGGCTGTATTTATTTATTTATTTTTTTTTTTTAATTTAAATTTTTTTTTATTTTGTTTTTTGTGCATCAAGTTAAAAAGTATATATATATATATATATATATATATATTAGTTGTAATTTTATTTTCGGTTTTAGTTAAGTATAGTTACGGCCCTGCGTGATCAAAAAAGCGCTAGTATTAAAGTTGAGCGTGTGCGTTGCTACAATTGTTTTCAGAGAGGTTTTCTGCCTCCATTGGTCAGACAAACAGTTAGCCCCGCCCCAAACACAGTGTTCAGTGTTTGGAAAGCAGTTGAGTCTTCAGGAAATCCACCGCCGGGGGCTCTAACTCTGTCCCCCGACCCGCAGGCCCAATCAGCCTGTCTATCCTCTGCCCTCCTGCGGCTTCAGACAGTCCTTCTCCTCCAGCCTCCAGAGCAGCTCCTCCTTCCCCAGGTACAGTACCAGCCCTCACCTGTGCTTCCCCTGACGCTTCAGCCGTATGTGTGTCGCCGCTGAGCTCCCGGTCACGACCCCAAATACTGCTAAACTGAGCCACGCTGACAGGAACGCTCCGGGTTCAGCTCTGCAGCGCTCTGATTCAGACTTTATTCAGCTAAAACTTGTCCTTTGAGCTTGTAAGCAGTGCAGTATAGTGGTTTTACATGGTTGTGACTCGAGTGGAAACATGCGACTCTGGAGCACAAAAGCAGTCATAAGGGTCCATTTTTCGAAATTGAGATATATACATCATCTGAAAGCTGAATAAATAAGCTTTCCATTGATGCATGGTTTGTTATGATCGGACAATATTTTGAAAATCTGGAATCTGAGGGTGCAAAAAAATCTAAATATTGAGAAAATCATCTTTAAAGTTGTTCAAATGAAGTTCATAGCAATGCATATTACTAATCAAAAATTATGTTTTAAGATATATTTATGGTAAGACATTTTCAAAATATCTTCATGGAACATGATCTTTACTTAATATCCTAATGATTTTTGGCATAAAAGAAAAATGAATAATTTTGAGCCATACAATGTATTGTTGGCTATTGCTACAAATATCCCCCAGCGACTCAACACTGCTTTTCTGCGCCAGGCTCACAAATTGAAAATAACTTTGCACACTAAGTGTAAGTTTAAGTGGTTCTGACTAGCGATAAAAAGATGGACCCTTTTCACAAGACTGTGTTGATGCGTTTAACAGTCATCAGCATCGTAAATCCTCGAAAGTTTTTTATATTTTTAAAAATGTATGAACATTTATGACACTATAATTTGTATTATATCACCTTTGCATCAAATTACAAAAGAAACCTATGTTTCTATGTGAGAGACATCGTTCTCTCCTCCGACTGCCGTTATCAGTCTCTCTCAAATTTGTTCCCTTTTATTGAAAGTCCTGAAAACACTATCGTGGAGTTTTTCTTTTGCTGTTTGAGCAAATGGGAATGCAAGAAATACATTTGCAGTACTCTCCCATTCACCGCTCTTCAAGTTAACTCAACGAGGACGACTTCCGCTGCTGAGAAACACAGACATGTGAAAAAGGTCCATTGCCAGCCAATCAGAATCCATCCTGCTTTAAAGAGCTTGAGCTGTTACGTTTCAGACAACAAAACTGCAGCACGCTTGCAATAAACAATGTTACTGTGATGTTGCTTGTTATAGCTCTCATTATTTGTGTGAACAGGGCTTAAGTTAATGCAATTTCCCCCCCGTTTTTCAACTCGGAGTTATTGAATAAACCCGGAACTCTGCTTTAATTACAGTTACGAGAGATCATGCTATACTGTGACTGCAGGCACAGATAACATGCGTTAATATGCAGATACACATTAAATATCGTCCTTATATTGGTAGATCTAGTAGTGGTTGTAAACTAAGGAACTCTCCTATTGTGCTGTGTGTCAATTTGACCCATATTCAATTTTTAAACAGCTTGAAACACTGGTTAAACTTGCTTTTAAGATATATTTATGGTAAGACATTTTCAAAATATCTTCATGGAACATGATCTTTACTTAATATCCTAATGATTTTTGGCATAAAAGAAAAATGAATAATTTTGAGCCATACAATGTATTGTTGGCTATTGCTACAAATATCCCCCAGCGACTTAACACTGCTTTTCTGCGCCAGGCTCACAAATTGAAAATAACTTTGCACACTAAGTGTAAGTTTAAGTGGTTCTGACTAGCGATAAAAAGATGGACCCTTTTCACAAGACTGTGTTGATGCGTTTAACAGTCATCAGCATCGTAAATCCTCGAAAGTTTTTTATATTTTTAAAAATGTATGAACATTTATGACACTATAATTTGTATTATATCACCTTTGCATCAAATTACAAAAGAAACCTATGTTTCTATGTGAGAGACATCGTTCTCTCCTCCGACTGCCGTTATCAGTCTCTCTCAAATTTGTTCCCTTTTATTGAAAGTCCTGAAAACACTATCGTGGAGTTTTTCTTTTGCTGTTTGAGCAAATGGGAATGCAAGAAATACATTTGCAGTACTCTCCCATTCACCGCTCTTCAAGTTAACTCAACGAGGACGACTTCCGCTGCTGAGAAACACAGACATGTGAAAAAGGTCCATTGCCAGCCAATCAGAATCCATCCTGCTTTAAAGAGCTTGAGCTGTTACGTTTCAGACAACAAAACTGCAGCACGCTTGCAATAAACAATGTTACTGTGATGTTGCTTGTTATAGCTCTCATTATTTGTGTGAACAGGGCTTAAGTTAATGCAATTTCCCCCCCGTTTTTCAACTCGGAGTTATTGAATAAACCCGGAACTCTGCTTTAATTACAGTTACGAGAGATCATGCTATACTGTGACTGCAGGCACAGATAACATGCGTTAATATGCAGATACACATTAAATATCGTCCTTATATTGGTAGATCTAGTAGTGGTTGTAAACTAAGGAACTCTCCTATTGTGCTGTGTGTCAATTTGACCCATATTCAATTTTTAAACAGCTTGAAACACTGGTTAAACTTGCTTGTCTTTCTTATTGAGTCATGAATGTGCATGCAAGGTTTTGACCCCGTAGGTGTGTTTTGGAAAGCATTTTGGTGACTACGATTGTGTTGGGAGTCAAATCGGCCCCCTTTTGGTTTCCATGCACTTGGACAGATTTTCATATCGGCCGTTTGAATAACAGCAAACTTTCAGGTACAAAAACAGAAAACTGTAGTTAGTACAAATCTGATTTTATATGCTGCCATGCAAAAGTTTGGGATCAGTAAGATTTTTTATGTTTTTTTTAAAGAAGTCTTTTATGCTCTTAAAGGCTCCATTTATGCGATCAAAAATACAGAAAAAAATTAATATTATTACAATTTAAAATAATGGTTTGCTATTTTAATATACTGTAAAATATAATTTATTCTTGTGGTCAAAGCTGAATTTTCAGCATCATTACTCCAGTCTTCAGTTAGGAAAGAATGTAAGCCTTTACGATCACTTTTTATCAATTTAATACATCCTTGCTGAATAAAAGTATTAATTTCTTCCCCAAAAAACTTTTGAACAGTAGTGCATATTGTTACAAAAGGTTTCTATTTTGCACAAATGCTGTTCTTTTTAATATTTTATTCATCAAAGTATCCTGATAATAAATCGGCATATTAGAATGATTTCTGAAGGATCATGTGACTCTGAGTTATGATGCTTTGATCACAGAAATAAAGTGTAATAAAACAGAAAACTGTTATTTTAATATTTTACAATATTACTGTTTTTTCTGTATTTTTGATGCAGCCTTGATGAGCAGAAGAGACCTCTTTAAAAAAAAAAACATAAATATATAAAGTCTCTGAGAAGCTGTAATAGAGATTACATTTTTGCATGACTCTTTAGTGTTGATTTTTGTCATAGAGCATGGAAACCAGTAGGGGCCTATTTTGACACAAATGTCGTACCCACAACACAACATGAAAGTTAATAGCTGGTCTCTGTGGAAATGACCGATCATACGCTGTGATCCTTTGGTTGCTTTTTCATATTGAAGTACTTTCTTGTGGTTCACATAACGTCCAGTCAGAAAGTAACCCAGACGTCTATTGGGTACGACTCAATCTCTTCTCGGGTGTTCTTCAAGCCGTTTGTTTGTTTGGTCAGCTCGGTCTCAAAGTGGATTGGGTGAGGCACCAACCCATCGCTGTGGCTTTTCCCATCAGACGTCAACTGTGATCAAATCCTTCCTTTGTAACCCAAAACCCGAATTAGATGAACAAATCATGTTAATATGCTTACATGCAGTAATAAATCCAAGCTGTGGAGATGGTTTCATTCGGATGTCAACAGACGACGCACATCTTTGTTCAATTCTTCTCGTGTCAAAGGCACAAATCCAAAACCGAGTCTGGAGGGGACGCTTTGTTGAGCTGGAACCCTTTCTGCTGTCCTTTCCCATCAAATATTAGTGCTGCTGTAGAGCCGGCTTTGAGATGATATTTGAGTTTGTGTTGAATGCTTCAGACGGCGTGCTTGTTTTCCCTCCCCAGTATGTGCTTGCGGCGCTTCGGCGGTGCAGATAGAGCGCCAGCTGCTGGTCACATGACGCATTGATGCTTCATTACAGTTTTTTTTTCAGCTGCTTACACACACACAAGCTTTACTCGTCACACAGTTTCTGAAAGCTGACACTCAAACACCAGAAGCACACACCAAATCTACAAAACCATACGCTAATTCTCAGACTTTGACTCGACACTTTTTGCAAATCAGGAAGTTTCTTGATTTCCTTTTTTTGTGTGTGTGTGTGTGTGTGTGTGTGTGTGTGTGTGTGTAGGTTCTCTCATTCTCTGATGCTTCAGTCCGGCATGCACCCTACAGGCATCCCACACCCCGCGATAGTGCCTCCGTCCGGCAAACACGAGCACGACCAGTTCGACAGGAGCATTTACACGTAAGTCCTCTGATGCTTTCAATGAATAGTGCACAGAACAGACCTGGGGCCTCATTTATAAAACGTGCACACGCACTAATTTGATCTCAAAGCCACGGGAACATTCATATTTGTGACCCTGGACCACAGAACCAGGCACAAAGGTCAATTTTTTAAATTGAGATTTATACATTATCTGAAAGCTGTATGGTTTGTTAGGATAGGAGGACAATATTTGGCTGAGATGCAACTATTTGAAAATCTGGAATCTGAGGGTGCAAAAAAATCTAAATATTGAGAAAATCATCTTTAAAGTTGTCCAAATGAAGTTCTTAGCAATGCATATTACTAATAAAAAATAAATTTTGATATATTTACGGTAGGAAAATTACAAAATATGTTCATGGAACATGATCTTTACTTAATGTCCTAATGATTTTTGGCATAAAAGAGAAATGTATAATTGTGACCCATACAATGTATTGTTGGCTATTGCTACAAATATCCCCCAGCGACTTAACACTGCTTTTGTGCTGCAGGCTCACAAATATAAACGCAGTCTTTGCGTGGAAAAGTGCTTAGAGCCACGTCAGGGTCTGAGCAGACATACACACTTTTCCTTGTGCAGCCATGATGATGATAATAATAGTAATAATAATAATAGTAGTATTAGGCATGTGCATTTCGGTTAATTTTCCTGACAGATATCAGATGCTGGATAATTGTTTAAGAGTTAACAGACAAGATTAGAATGTTAAATAAAAACTAAATTAGATTTTAAAAATTACGCGTTAATAATGTCATAAATGTGCAAATATCACCATAAACATAACATGAGTTTTGACATGCCGTCATGCATCTGCCGCACTTTTGTGAACGGAAAAAACGCAATAAAATTGTATATTAAATAAATAACACGAAATATGTTTGACTTAAATAAAACGAAATTTTAAGCAAGTAAGCTGCGCTGAGTTTTGGTGTGTTTCTGTGATTCGCTCCATAAATTAAAAAGAACCAAGAGTTAAAACGGCATCCTGTTTTTCTGGATGCTACAAATTAAAGCACGCTATTTTATTTTATTGTGAGTGTACACAAATAAAAGCCCAACTTTGGCCTCACTAAAGTTCTTTTTCCGGCTGCTCGCCATCCTCAAACAACTGTTATCGACGGTGACTGATGCTCTTTTATATGCTAATGACATTAATCTTTTTATAAATGAGGCCCCTGGAAACTCTTGAACCCTTGAAGTTAGTTTTCTGAAATTTAAGCACATGCAAATATCATCCCAGTAGTTTATTTCTATGTTTGTGCCATTTTTTTAAGTGCACACATTTTGGTCTCAACACCAAAAATGCAACGTCTGAACACAGTTGACTCGGACGGGACTAGTTTTCCTGGAGGACGTACTTTGTGATTTTAATCCCATCTGAATCTGTGTTTTTCTTCCATAACCTCTCTAGAAGTTCTAGAGCAAATTACCTTCTGTTTGGTCCTGTGAGATCTGGAATTGCCTTGTGAGTTTGCACCCCTGAATAAAAATACTTGACACAAATCTGATTCTCATAATAAATTGTCCATGTCTGTGGGACTAATTATAATACCTCAAATACCTCTGTTTGTGTGAAATATATCCAGTGCTGGGTAGATTACTTACAAAATGTAGAATTTCAAAAATTCCAGATAGTAAAGTAATCCATTACATTACACGTTTGAGGTAATCTGACAACTTTTTGATTACTTTTAGATTACTTTTGACCTAATGCATTAATCACATTGATTTAAATAAGATAATCTTGTAGCATATTGATGTAAAATACAAAGAAAAAGAAAATATATTACATTTGCTCTTATTAACAACATGAAGCGCATTAAAAAGTTTCCCAAACTGGGGTTCATGAAGGAATTTGTGAATTTAATGAAAGGCTAATATTTAATTACATCATTAAAATAAATGATTTTTAAATAATTGATCATTTAAATATAAATTAATGTGTTCATTGGTAGTTGATGCAATGTTGAAATGTTGAGAAAACTTATTTTTCAAGTTTAAGTTTAAGTAAAACTTAATAAAACGGAAATTATTTTTGTAAATTTCCGTTTTTGTGTAATTATATCCATCTGACTAGTGTCTGGTAGAAGACTGGAAAACTCGTAGGCTATTTTAGAAAGGAAGATTGGATATTAGGATATTAGAATAATTTATTGCTTTAATAAGAATAATATGTAATCATGTAATTCCTAATAAAGTAACTATAGTCTGATTTCAATTATTTTAAAATATAACTACAAGTACTTAATTTTTGGAATCTGATTACGTAATCCACATTACATGTAATCAATCACTACTCAGCACTGAATATACAGTATTTTTGTTTAATATGAAGTGTTAGATCAAGTCTCCACGTCAGAAATTTCAGATCTGAATCCCGTCACCGAATTCTGCCCAAACCCAGTCAGCGAAGTCTTGTCTGATACCCAAAACCCGTATTAACAGTCTTCTGTCAGCCGAGAAGTTGACTGAGACAGCCAGAGAAGAGCAGAAGAGGAGACAAGTGATGATGATAACAAAGGAGCGGAGTTTATCGAAAAATCGTGGTTGCGTATGTTTCAATTCTCAGACTTCATCTGACCAGAGCAAATGCAACAAGTGTTATTACACTACGATCGGTAGCAATGGAAAATGACTGCTTCACAACAACGTCCCTCTTATCATGAAGACAAATATCCCTTGAAACCACACAATCATAAGACAACAATGGGAAAATAATATCAAATATAATAATATAATATAAGTGACTAATCAATGAAATGAGTATATAAGTGGTTTAAATTATCATTATAGATGAGAGATAAACATGGGCTTTGTGCCTTTGTTGATTTCGAGTAATGGGACGCCCGTCCAAACATCTTATTAACTATTGTTATTTGTATAATGAAGTGTTTTTCTCTTTCTTCTTCATCGCGTACCTCAGCAAATCTCATGCAGAGTTGAAGCGCGAGAAGGAGCCCAAGAAGCCGGTGATCAAGAAGCCGCTGAACGCGTTCATGCTCTACATGAAGGAGATGCGGGCCAAAGTCATCGCTGAGTGCACGCTGAAGGAGAGCGCCGCCATCAACCAGATCCTGGGCCGACGGGTGCGTTCCATCCGCTTCATCTGCTGTCAGGATTACTGTCTGTGTGTGTGTGTGAGAGAGAGAGTGAGAGTGTGTGTGTGTGTGTGTGTGTGTG